TATTTCAGAGGCTGAGGTCCAGAGCCCAGGGTCATTTGAGCCTTGCCTCTCTGCATGGATGCCTGTGCCCTGGCCTGGGGTGAGGAAGGAGAAATCACTGATGGCCAATTAACAGAAAGACGTAAAGCTGACTGAGGGTGAATGTGTGTGCATGTGAGTGTGTATATGAGAGAGAGAGAAGGAGAGAGACAGAGGGAGAGGGAGAGAGAAAAAGAATGACAAGGAGAGGAAGTGAGAGACACCAACTGGAAAGCCCATGCCCGCTAAGCAATGACTGACTTAATCTCTAATTAAAAATCCCTGGTGGTATCCCATTCTAATGAAAACACAATTCAAGCTCTTTTCCAAGACTTGAAGGCTTCAGATGACTCTCTCCCACCTTGAAACTCTCCTTTTGCACTCCTCTCCATCTACAAGTTCTCCAAACGCCCCCACCCATTCATGCCTCAGGGCCTTTGCAGTTGCTGTTCCCTCCTTCTAGAAAGCTCTTCCTTCTGGTCTTCACTTGACAGCTGCTTCTCATCATTCACATTTCCGTTCAAATACTACTTCCTCTGAGAAGCTCCCTCTCTAGCACAGCCCGAGGTGTATTGCCTTGTATCTGAAAGGTATTTTTTTCATTTATTTGTACCTTGACTATTGACTCTGTTTCCCACAAAAACATAAAGTCTATAAGAGCAGGGTCTCAGTCTCTCTTTTTCAACAATGCATGCCCTACCCCCCCCCCCCACCCCAGCACCTAGAACACCTCCCGGTAGGTAGCAAATACTCAGTAAACCTTAGCTGAAACTCAATTCCTACCTTAAGGATGACTATGCAGAAAGTCACCCAGGATTTACCGCAAAAACCACTCTCTGCTCCCTTGCCACCCCTACCTTCCACCACAGTGACTGCAACCTACAACCACACCAACTCCGGATCAGCTTGCACAACCTATGGCTGGTCGCTTCCCTTGCAATTATCTCCAGCTTCCTTGCCATGTCTTCATCTGGAGGCTTCGTTCTCCTCATCTCCTACAGAACTTTCCATTCCCAACCAGATGAAAGCAGGTCAAGGTTTAAAGAATCCTTCAAAGACCAGCATTACATGTTACTAAGCATACTGTGTCTTAGGTTAAAAGGCAAAAAGAAAGAACATCTTTTCACCAGCTTTTCAGTGTTTGTGATTAAAAAAAAAAAAAAAAAATTCCCAAGGGCTGGGTGCTTTCCTTCCTCTCCCACTGGTCTAAGAAGAGGAAAGCCCCTCCAGTCAGTGCAGAAGGATGAACAGTAAATGGTAAGCTGGCCATCCCCCAACCCTGCGGATGACAAAAAGTCTCCCAGAAGAGGAAACAGGGCCATGGAACAGAGACTCAGTTCCTACTGCTCCTTAACTTTCTTTTACTCTCAAACTCATCCCCAGGATCTTACCCTTTCTGAGCCTGACCGTATGGCAGCCAAGTTCCTGATCAAGTCTAAGACCCCACTGCTTATTCAGTGCTGGTAGTCACCACCTGGGGAAAGAACTCCTGCCACCTCACCATGTGAGGGAACAGTACTTCTGACATCCTAATACAGAACCAGAAATACAGTTTTTTACTAACATGCTGCAATGTCCACTGTATCCTTTGTACACTATACACCAAGCCTGCTCCAAATCAAATACGTTTTTTATTGAAGTATAATTAACATACAGTGTAATAAAAATTTACTTTTATTTTTAACCCATAAAGGGTTCACCTGGAAGTTCTGATGTGTTCTGTTATCCACTGTAGTTAGAATAAACAGCAGAGGTTCACTGAAATTGTGAGAGTAGGGATATGCCCCTGGGTAGGCTTCTTCTAGGAAAGAAGGTTGAGTGGGACTTCAGGGAAAATATATCCAGAATGAAAAGAATTTTTGCAACACAATGCCTTGGAGATAACATAGCCTCCTGAATTTGGCCAGACACAGCACACCAAAGTGGCACATCAAAGATACAAAGAAGACAGAAGATAACTAATTGATGAAAGTCAGGAGCTATCAGAAGGGAAGGCAAAGTATGCAGACCACCTGTTCAAGTGAGGGGTAATTAAGAAAGTATATTCAGATCAGAAGATATATCCGTTGAGTGTGTACAAGGCAAAGTTGAACGATATGCACAAAGAATGTAGACTACAGAGGTTTCCTGGGAGGGTGTAAGGCAGAGGTCAAGCAGACCTTTATGTGATCCATTCTAAGCCACTTATGCTGGGACAATCTTAGGGTTTTTTTTTTAACTATAAAATGGAGCTAATTATGCCTGTTTCATACAGTTGATGGGAAGATTTAATAAAAGAACACACGTGAAAACACCGGGGATCACAGTGCCTGCCATGTGAGCTTTATGTTACTGGAATCAGCTGGAATGTATATTAAATAACTATCTGGCCCCCAACCCTGGATGGAATCGTAGTTTCCACAGAAGCCAAGTGGTAATCTGCATGGCTAGCAGAAGATGTTTATCAGAGACGTATAGGAAATGTGGCATATTTCACCTCTCTCCTACAATATTCCACATAAGGTGGAACACAGAAGTATCTCCTACAGAAGAAAACAGCTACCACTATGTTCTGGAATGAGATAACTTGAGAATTGCAATTTTCACAAAAGACAGACTTACATTTTAGGTTTTTTTCTTTAACAGTCTTTCAGTGGTATTCTTCTGACAATTAGTGTCTGTTTCTTTCTGAGCCTCAAAGATTTTTATGGATTTGGGGCAGAAGAACAAACTGAATATTTCCAACAAATCTGAAACGTGATCTCATTTTGTTGCATCTTTATAAGGAGACGTATAATCTGGGACGGTGACATTCAGGGACTACGGTAAAAATATCACTCCAGGAAAGAAGCTCCACTGAGCAGGGAATGAAGATCTCCTCCTCCATATGAACAATTAAGGAAGACCCACGAAGCCCGACCAGGGTGATACAATCAGTTTCTGAAAACATTTTCTCCTTATAAACCAAAGCTGCCATTATCTCAATTGTCTCTGAGTCGGAGGGCCTGGTGGCTCAGTTGGTTAGGTGTTCTACTATTGATTTTGGCTCAGATCATGATCTCAGGGTCCAGAGATGGAGCCTGGTGTTGGGCTCTGTGCTCAGCAGGGGGTCTGCTTGAAGATTTGTCTCCCTTTGCCTGTCCTCTCCTCCCCCCACTTTCTGTCTCTGAAATGAATAAATCTTTAAAAAACAATAAAATAAAGTGTCTCTAAGGCAACTGGCCTTATTCAGTGACAACAGACTACAAAACAATCTGAGTGTCTCTTTTGCATATCTGGGTGTGAAAAACAGTCCTTGCTGAGAAGAAAAGGAAGTTACACAACCAATTTACAAATGTCAAATCAACTTGTTTTCAAAAGGAAAATAACCTCATACCCTGACCAGGTCTTCCCAAATACTGAATATCTCCGTGTAAATAAGACAGTGTCACCGTCTGCAGTTGGGAGAGGAAGTCTGAAGACCGGAAAGTCAAACACCCACACGATAGCACAGTACACGCAGCCATCAGAAACCTAAACATCAGTGTGAAAACGAGCAGAAGAGCCAAGGAGGGCAAGGAGTTTCTGGCTCTCCTGCAGTCCCTTAACTATCCACCTAATCAGAGTACTCAGATGCATGTGACTTTTTTGAGTTTAGAATCTGCAGTTTTTGTGGTTTCTGATGGCATCCACGGATGTTATTCCTATCCCCTCTCCCACATACAGTTTTTAAATATTTTAACAGCAAGCACCACCCCCACCTCCACCCCCACTTTCCCCCCAACACCTCTCTCCCCACCCCTTCTACTGAAGATCCTGTAAGAAGGTGTTTGGGGTTTGTATTTAGTTTCTAGAAATCGTCTGCAGATTTTCTTTTAAGCCAAAATAACAGAAGAAAGAGGCTGAGATCTCCAGAGAACCCTAGAGCAACAGCCTCAAAATAACAAGTCGTTTCTTTTTTAGCTTGAAAACTAACGGGAGCCCAAACCTTGCGAGCTTCTCAACCACCGCTCTTTCCCCCAAACTGCCTCGGTGCTTGTTTTGTTAGGTCTAGTTCTACTGTGGCGGGAAGAAGGGTTTGTTGGAAATTTTTCTAAGATAAAAAACGAGAATCTTCCAGATCTCTAGCCCCGGTTCGCGGACAGACCCTTTTACAAAACAAAGGTGAGCAAGGAGCCCCCACCCTTGTCGGCACGCGAGTGCCCAAGCTCCCCCTAAGATTTGAGAAAAACGGGTCCCAAAGCAGGTCCTCCCGACTCGCAGCGCCCCTCCTCCCGCCCTGGGGGTCCGAGCGCCCCGCAATCCTCTCCGCCCCGGGTGTCCAGTCTCTCCAGCCCCTAAACCAGGAAGCCAAGCGCTCGGACGCTCCCGGGGTCGGGAGAGTGCGCGGAGGGAGCTGTCGGTTCAGCGTGCCCCCTACCCGCGACGCTCAGAGGCTGCACAGATCGCAGGCCGCCCCAACCAGCGTGGGGAACTCGGTCTCCCCGATCCCCAGTCCCCCTCACCCGGGCAATGCAAACGTGCAGGGAAGCCGGCGGGAGAGAGTTACCCTCCAAGGCCCAGGAGCGGTGACTGCAGGGGTTTGCGGGGCTGGGCGGCCGGAGGCCCGCTACTCTCCGCCCGCCGCCGCTCGCTCCAGCCGGATGCTGCTGCTCCCGCGGCGCCTGCCGCATCGGGCCGCCGAAGCCCAAGGCCGGCGGAAAAAACCGGAGGAAGGTGGCCCGGGTTAGGCTTGGCACGGGCACGATTCCTCCACCGACCAGGCGGGCGAGCTGCGGAAAGCGCCGCGCCGCGGAGAATCGGAGGCGCCCGCCAGCCGGTGCGCTGCCCTCCGCGCCCGGTCTGGATCCCGGGAGACTGCGCCGAGCGCCTCCGGAGCCGCTGGGAAGCTCCTCCTGCTCGCCTGCTGGCGCCAGACGCGCGGTGACCACGGCCGCCCCCAAGTTCACGGAGGAAGGTGCAATGCAGAGGGAGACTGAGGGGGGCTCCGCGTCCCGGGAGCAGGGCGGCCGGAAAGCCCGTACCTTTCGGGCTGGGCGGACACCAGCCGCGCGCCCTTCCCGGGCGTCCCGGACAGGAAAATCACCACGAAGGGAGGGCCGGGGAAAAGCAGCGGGTGGCTTCAGGACAAGGTAGGAGGATCGAGTTCCACAGCCAAGAAGACACTCCCATCCTGCCTTGGTTTGTTTGGAAAGCTGCAGCGGGGAAAGTGTGGGGCGGCCAGGGTACTCCCCTTCCCCACCGGGGTGGCGGGCCGCAGAAAAAAACACATTTGCTTGGCGCACCGGGACCTTCTGTGACACCAAGTGAGGCAGGCGGTTTGGTCCCTAGCAGAAAGGGAGGGAGTGTTCAGAACTCGAGAATTCCTGGGCTCCGCCTTTCAAGGACAAATGCGTTAGTGCTCCTTTGTCTTTTGGAGGAGACGTTACTTTAGGGAGAAGAACGAAGGTGGGACGTGGATTTTTCTTTCTTGTTAAAGTAGCTCTCTTGAGAAAAGCATAAATTAATAATGTCCTCATACTTGGATGGCTCTGAATACTTTTTATATTTCAGTGTTTGTGAAGTAATTCATTGTCTAGCAACATTCAGTTAAGAGCTCCAGCCTTTGGACAGTGAACATCGTAATCACATGCCATCAAATGACCCCAGAGAGAAGAGCCACGGACTTGGGTCTAATTCAAAGCGGCAGCGTGTCACCGCACTGAAATAAAGTCCTTCATCTCTGCTGGCCCTTCTGGTATTTGTGTTAATTTTAACAACAGCCCTGGGAGACAACACTTGTTATTATCCCGGTTTTACCAATCAAAAAACTTGAGTGTTCAGAAAATGCCTATCTCCTTCCTTTTCCACAAATTGCCTTTGAAGTAACCCACACAAATTTTGAAATTTTGAAGGTCACTCCGGATACATCAGAGTAGTGAATGATGTTTGGGAAATTTGCCCACCTAGGTCAATTTTCCTTGAGGTTGATTTGCTCTTTTTAGTTTTTCCTGAGTTCCTTATTATCCTTCTTTTGTTCACGATCTTCAGAATTAAACCAGTATTATACCTCATTCACTCAGTCCTTAGGATTTTTGGATCTGCAAAGTCATGTGCTAAGGGGACAGGTCATCTGCTATTCTTAGGTGGAATTTGTGCTGCCTTATAGGAGTGGCCAAAAAGACACTGTTCACCCTAACCTCATTCAAATTCCACCTCCTCCACTGGCATGCCTTGTGACCTTGAGCATGTGCCTTAGCCTCAGTGTACTTCCTTTGTGCCACCTGTAAAAGAGAGATAAAACAACCTATCTTCAGGGGTTGTTAGGATTTAAATAGATGATGATCTAAAGAATTCTTGGCCCAGTGCTTGGCACAAAAACCATCAGTTCAGGAAATAAGACCAGTCACTGACCAACATTGAGTCAATTACTGCCTATGCATCATATCTGTTCTTCATTTCCATCCTGCAAGCGAGAAGAATCTCATTCTAGAAATGAAGAAATATAGTCTGGAGATTAAGAAATGTGCCCAAGGTCATTCTGTCTACATTGAAGCTGTGACTCAAATGAAAGTGCCTGAAACCAAGATCAGTTTTCTTTCCAGAAGAGCTCATGTCTATGTCATTTTGTGGGCAGGGACCTTTGAGCTGTGTAACGTTAATTTTTTTTCAAATGCAGGATATATCATTGTATGGGCACATGATTGCAACTATGCAAAAATTTTGAATTCCTGTGGAAGATGATAAAGAATTAAGCAGAGTAATGGGATTATAGGGTTTTAGCTCTCTCTGGGATAGTGTTTTTGGCAATTGTTTTGGGGAAAATGTTTTCACATTCATAAATAAATGTAATTTAGCCTTTGTATAAAAGGTGTATTCTAATAAAGTTAGAGGGGAAGGACCAGGAAGGAGGAGAGGACTCTTGGAAGATGCAAATTCTTTTAATGGTCCCCAAATCATAATATATTTAGGCAGTGTACATACAGGTTTGGCCAAGTTTGCTAGGTTTCTTTTGTGCTTATGGATGCTACAATCTCTTCGTTAAAATCACATTGTTCCATAGGATATGGCCCTCGGGACAAGTAAAAGTCAGGTTTTCCACACCACCCTGGGATGCCATTCAGCACAGCATAGAGAGTAAGGTTAAAGAAAATAGTACTTCTTTCTCAATCCCAATGTAGGTCCTGCCAAAAGAACAAACCCCTGAAGATAGATTATATTATATCACTTTTACAGGTGACCTGTCCTATCCCAAGAAAAGGCTTTTCTGGCATGATCAATGTAGGACTACTTCATATAGAGGAGACCTGCTCAAAGTGGTATGCTCTCCACCGGACCATCACCTCTGGTAAACCCCAGGACCAGTGAGAGAGCTGGAAAATGACAAGAGGCCACTTTCTCACAATATCCCCTTCTAAGTTAATAACAAAAAGAGATTTCCTTTTTTCTAACATTTCTCAAGGCTGAGGTTCTCCAGTTTTAAATAGTATCTGGCCCAAGACTGAGTTTGACCAAGGTCATCATCTTTGCACCCCATTGTTCCTCCACTTCTAGGGGAAGATCCTGCCAGCCTAGTCTTCTGGGTGTCTTCGGGTTTTATCTACTGTAAGCAATTATTTAAAGAACAGGTGCATCTCAAAAAGAATAAGCCACAGGGTGGAGGCAGTGTCTCTCCTCACTTAGAGCTCTGCCTCTGCCTCTCCTCACTTAGATCTCTGTTTTCTTTCACAGAAGGCAGCTTATTCTGTTAAGCAACGCCTTAACTTCTCCAAAGCAGAGCAGGGCCTCAGCCCCGTATTTGCATATGAAAATAACCATTGTGTTGATTTCCTCAATACCGCTGGAGCTCGGAAAAAGGAGTGCAGGTCTCTCTGGAAGCTTCTTTGCAACTTTCATCAACAGTAGCATCTCATTCTACTAGTCCTGTCAAGATTTCAGAGCTCTTAGCAGCCCAGTCTCAGGAACTGTATTTGCTCTCCTTCCACAAACTGGAGGATGAGGGGAAGTGGGAGGATGGACCTGGGGTTCAGTGTGTTCTAAGCACAGGAACATATAAAATATCTGTATGCTGGAAGCCATAATTAAGACCACTTCAGTGTTTTGTTAAAAGCGTTAATATTCAGAACATGTCAAGAGTTCCTATGGATCTGTAAAAAAAAGATACCCCATTTAAAAATAGGACATGGGTCATAAGCAAGCAATTTATGGAAGAAATACAAATAGTCCACAGACAGGTGAATTGATTTTCTTGTCTTTTTATACTAACATTGTTTAAGAAAACGTAGATAATAATGAGAAATCAGACTGGCAAAAATTAAGGTTAATGAGCTTAATGTGTTTCATCAAGGTGTCAGGGAAACTATTCAAGGAAGTATGAAATCGAACTTCCTTTGTAGAGGGCAATTGGTGATTGCTACCAAATTTACAAGGTTGTTATGAGTTTGAATTTCAAAACCCGAATTAAAGTTCTTTACCTTTCCTCCTTAGATGACAGTTTGGCCTCAAGCCAAGCAAAGGAGGAAAGAGGTGTGGGAAAGAGGAAGGGGTGGGAAAAGACAGAGGCTCTCTTAGCTGACTCCTGGTTACCTGGTCTAGAAGAGGGCAGGCAGCCCTTCTGGTTACCCAGCAGGTCCCTGAACAAACCCCTGATGGTAGGGCACCTCCTAGGGTTGGATGGGGGCAGTCTGCAAACCTCTGCATCCTGGAGCACCTTGCTCAGAGAACTTCCCGCAATCATGAGAAGTGTTGGAAACCGGGACCACTGTCCTAGCTGATGGGCGCACTCCCACTCCCGGGAGAGGAGGGAGATGTCCCACCCTCCCCCAACTGTGGAGATGCTCTGCTAATTTCTGCTCCAGTCCCAAGACTGATAATTCTGTCAAAATATTACAGGTACCTTCCCGTGGGGCACTCAGCCCACTGATTCACATTTTTAGCTAGCTCCCTTGTCTCTCATCACAGCTGGATTAGAGCTGAATGAACTTCCACTGTTTCATTTCAGGAGGTTTTTATAGGATGGATCCGGAAAAGTGGAAATCCTGGGCAAAGCATACATCAGCCCACACTCAGATGAGTTTCTGCTTGATCTTTTCATGTTCAAAAGTTCACACTCTAAACAAACAAACCAAACAAAAACAAAAACAAAACAAAACTATTTTCAGTAGCACTCCTAAAGCAGGGTGCAAGTGGAGTCATTACAGTGAGCTGGGAATGATAAAGGGGCTTCTCGTGGCTTCCCCAGCTCCAATCTGCTATAAATGCTTGTCACCTTCAAACCAGCAAATCCATCTTTTAGGACTTGATCTGTAGAAATAATCACATATAAATACAAAAACATGAATAGGGGTGGGCATAGCGGCATTGCTTATAATGTTTAAAAGCAGGAAAATAGTGCCCAGGAATAGAGTGACTAATTGGATTGTGGTATATCCTAACCATGAATGCAGCCGTTGCAAAGCTATTATAAATGTGTATATACATTCAATTCACTGATGTGTGATATGTAGCAGCTGCACTACACTGGCTTTGGAAATTCTACATTCAGAAATTATATGTTGAGTGTACGTATGGTATGTCATAGGTATTATGATTCATTAATATCAAGCAGGAAAAAATAAAGGACCACTAATATGTGTGTATATATTTGTGAATCCATAGGGAGCATGGACAGATTTCTTCTAGAGAGTGGAATTATAGAGGCAGAGAGAGAAAGTGGAGGAAGATTTTTGCTTTTTATTCTAAATATTTCTGATAAGTTGAGCTTTTTACAATGTACATGAATAACTTTTGTAATTAAAAGAAGATGCCAACAAGGGAGTTATTTTTATGTGTTTGAGGAAAGAGATTAAAAATCCCAGATAAAAATGTGTCCATGTTGAGGCATAAATCTGAGCTCTCTCCCTTGGTGGTTCCCTGTGTACTCTCCATTCTATATAATGCATTTTTGCCCCCAATCAACAGAGACCAAAATAGAAATATCAGGTGAACACAAAACAAAACCTCAAGGCCACACTGACAGAAGAAGAAGAAAACCTATATGAGTCTTGTTTTTATTTTGCTGGGAAAAAAACTAAACATAAAAGAAGCATGAAGAAAAAGGTTAATACGTTTGATTTCATGAAAACATAGACCTTCCAAATGGCAAAATACACAGACTTACAAAGACAAGCTGCATAAAAGTATTTGCAACACGTGGCTAATGGTTAATTTTCTTACTTTACCAAGAACTCCTAGGGGAAAAACAAACAAACAAGAATTTAATGGAAAAATAGATAAACTACATGGACAAGCAGCTCTCTGAAGAGAAAAATAAAACCTATATTCCTTATGTATGTCTGCTTTGTGCCACGCACTAATCTAAGCAGTGAAGGAAACATAATTCCTGCTCCCATGTAGCTTACATTCTAGTAAATTTGAGGGGTCTTGACTGCACTTATTGAATTTGCGTACTCTAATACAGAAATCCCACCAATAGAAACTCCTGTTACAGATATCCTTGCACAGTTATATAAAGTTGTACATAAGAATTGCCTGAGAGGGGCAGCTGGGTGGCTCAGTCTTTAAGCGTCTGCCTTCAGCTCAGGTCATGATCCCAGGGTTCTGGAATCAAGCCCTACATCGGGCTGCCTGCTTGGCAGGAGCCTGCTTCTCCCTCTCCCACTCCCCCTGCTTGTGTTCCCACTCTCACTCTCTCTCTCTGTCAAATAAATAAATAAAATCTT